ACACTACTCTCTCCACACACACACTCTCTCTCGTCGAAAAGTTTGCAGTCAAAATATTCTGGTAATTGCCCAAGCCTTTTTTACTTCTTTTTTTCATCTTAATACAAATTAATTCACTACTACTTACATCTGATATTTAACTCCTTCAGCCTATTTTCAGCTGCAGAAACCATTCAACTATTACATTATTCAGCTATTTCAGGACATCAAGGCTATACATGTTGTTTATACCTTTTTTTTTTAAACCTTTTCTTTTAAATATTAAGCTTTTTCTGCATTTTTGTAGCTAAAAGCAGCTACCATTCAGCTAATAACATATTCAGCTTTTTCTGCATTTTGAGCTAAATTCAGCCATAAATGTTCACAGTTTACAGCATTCGCACGCATTTTCTGCAGGAAATGCATTTTCTAGTTAGTAAGAGATATGGCTCATTTCATAGCCATATGTATGAAATGACTGGATTATTAATGTGTTCATCACAGCTGGTAAAGGTGGAGCTAATTGTAATTACTTGACATGCAGGTGCATCTAAAAAAAATTGAATATCGTAGAAAAGTGAATTCATTTCATTAATTCAATTTTTTTTTAAAAGAAGTGAAACTCATATTTTATGGATTCATTACACGCAACGTGAAATATTTCAAGGCTTTATTTGTTTTAATCTTGATGATTACGGCTTACAGCTAATGAAAACCCCCAAATCAGTATCTCAGAAAATTTGAATATTGTGAAAAAGTTCAATATTGTAGACTCACAGTGTCACATTCTAGTCAGCCAATGAACTAAAAACACCTGCGAAGGTTTCCTGAGCCTTTAAATGGTCTCTCAATCTGGTTCAGTAGGCTTCACAATCATGGGGAAGACTGCTGACTTGACAGTTGTCCAGAAGACAGTCATTGACAGGAGGGTAAGCCTCAAAAGGTCATTGCTAAAGAAGCTGGCTGTTCACAGAGTGCTGCATCCAAGCATATTCATAGAAAGTTGAGTGGAAGAAAAAAGTGTGGAAAAGGTGCACAAGCAACAGGGATAACAAAGGCTTGAGAGGATTGTCAAGCAAAGCCCATTCAAAAATCTGGGGGAGCTTCACAAGGAGTGCACTGAGGCTGGAGTCAGTGCATCAAGAGCCACCACGCAGACGTATCCAGGACATGGGCTACGCATTCCTCGTGTCAAGCCACACCTGAACCAGAGACAACTTCAGAAGCGTCTTACCTGGGCTAAGGAGAAAAATAAATGGTCTATTGCTCAGTGGTCCAAAGTCCTCTTTTCAGATGCAAGTACATTTTGCATTTCATTTGGAAATCAAGGTCCCAGAGTCTGGAGGAAGAGTGGAGAGGCACACAGTCCAAGTTGCTTGAAGTCCAGTGGGAAGTTTCCACAGTCAGTGATAATGTGGGGAGCCATGTCATCTGCTGGGGTTGGTCCACTTTGTTTTCTCAAGTCCAAAGTCAACGCAGCCGTCTACCAGGACATTTTAGAGCACTTCATGCTTCCTTCTTCGGACAAGATTTATAGAGATGCTGATTTCATTTTCCAGCAGGACTTGGCACCTGCCCACACTGCCAAAATTACTAAGACCTGGTTTAGAGCTGAAGGCCGCTATCAAAGCAACCTGGGCTTCCATCACACCTCAGCAGAGCCACAGGCTGATCGCCTCCATGCCACGCCGCATTGATGCAGTAATTCATGCAAAAGGAGGAGTGCATACACATGAACATACTTTTCAGAGGGCCGACGTTTCTGTATTAAAAATCCTTTTTTTTATTGGTCTTGTATAATATTCAAATTTTCTGAGATACTGATTCTTGGGTTTTCATTAGCTATAAGCCATAATCATCAAGATTAAAACAAATAAAGGTTTGACATATTTCACTTTGTGTGCAACGAATCCATATAATATGAGTTTCACTTTTTGAATTGAATTAATGAAACAAATTCACTTTTCCACGATATCCTAATTTATTGAGATGCACCTGTATATCAGCTTCCAGTTTCTGTTGCCAGGATGATGACGGTTCATAAAACTTGCAAAGAAAGCAGCGTTTATTCCCAGGTTTACTTGCAACCTTTCATCACAAGTTGCAAGTCTATGACAATATTTTGTTGCAGTTTAATCGATGAATAAAAAATGATACAATGTTTCTTCAAGAAGAAATATAATTAAAGCTGAAATAAAAGAGAAAAGTTCTGCAGACCCGCCTGCTGTCTGCGCTGAAACATCACGTGAGGTTGTGTAGATGTAGTTGTGTATTTTGTGTCAGTACCTGGAACGTAGTCTCCGAAGCCGACAGTGGTGAGAGTGATGACCACAAAGTAGAGCGACTCGAGAAAGGACCATTTCTCCACTTTCTGAAACACGACAGTTGGCACGGCGAGGAAGATCAAACAACCAATCAGGATGGAGAGAACGGCTGAGATCACACGCACCGTGGTCGGCCTGACCTTACGCTTCTGAGAGAGGAAGACAACAGCAAATAAAGAGGAATCAAATGAATACTTAAGACTGTAAAGATGGGATTAAGTCTACAAGCCATTAGAGGTAGAAGTTTGTATTAACACATAACCTATTTTATTACATCAGGCTTTCAGTCTAGAACCCTAAAATGTTTTAGTTTTTCTTACTTCCCACCAGATTGAATCATTTTCTCATGTTTGAAATATATGATATTTTCCTGGTTTCCACTAAAAACATGTCTGCTGTATTAGTTGTTAGATGAAAATCAATGTTGTTGCAAATCAATGACATATCCCAGAATGTGGACAAAAAGTAAAAATGTATTCAAGAGTAAAGTAAAAATTCTGAAGCATTGATCTTTTTTTAAGACATCCATGCAGCTTAAATGATGCACAACCAGGCAAGCTAAAGCCCACATCTTTAATATCTCCGGGAAGGTTCACATCCCATTAGGAGGTTCTTAACTAAACAATCCAACAGCACTCGGTTATTCACTGCTAAAGACCAAAGGGGTCTGGGCCTCTTGGGGTTTGTAAATCCAACTGAGGTTTGTTCTCAGAGAGGACAGACCATTCTCACCAGGAAGAGAGTCTCAATCTTGGCCACGGCTCTGCGCAGCACCGTGCCCATGTGGTCGCCCACTCCAGCGAGCAGAATGCCAAACATCGGGATACCCACCAGAGCGTAGCACACGCAGAACAGCTGGCCGTACCACGTCCGAGGAGACAGGTTCCCAAAACCTGTGAGAAAATGAAAGCACAAACTCATGGATTCATTGGTATGGCTGAATACCCAGACTGCAGTCTAATAGAAGTCCATGTGAGACCAGACATTTTATGAGTCAGTGTCCTGCTCTCAGTGTTTTGGTTGTGAAGATGATGCAGGGTCACGCGTGTTCAGAGTCAAACTCAAATATTTTAGATATTACAAAAGCTCCATTTGAAATGTTTGTTCTGCTATTAATACTATTCTACAACATTTCAGCATGCTATCTTCACTTCAAGAGCATATTGTATGCAAGTAACTTCAAAGTGCAGCCCGAAGTCCCCGCCTACCTATGGTGGTGATGATGGTACCACAGAAGAAGAAGGCGGAGGCGAGGTCCCAGCGGCTGGTGAAGTTGGCAGGAAGGTTGTTCACATCCAGGCCGGCCTCCACTGCAGACACCACTCCCTGCAGCGAAGATAAAAATGTACATATAAAGATAAGAGCAGAAACAGAAACCCAAAAGAAAAATGGTATTTATGATTTACAAAGTCAGTGTGTGAGGGATTAAGTAACGAGTGTGTCCAATGTTACCTTCACCAGGTCTTTGAACTCATCCTCTGTGACGCAGGAGTTGTTATAAAGGAAGGCGTTCTTGGTTTTCCGCAGTGTATCAAACGCAGATTTCTCCTCTGGGAACTCCAGGGTGCCGAAAACAAGCGCTCCCATCACCAGGTACAGCATGACCCCCGTCAGCAGGGCCAAGAGGGTGGTACACCGCATGTTGTCCCCGTGGACCCCCCCTGCCCCTCCAGGGTTAGAGGGTCAGAGCTCAGGGGCCGGGATCTGGTCGGGTTAGTCAGGATACTCTGATGCACAGCTGGGCATAAACAGGAAGTTCCTTCAGAGGTACTGTATGTGTAAGCACGGAAATGTGTAAGAGAGCAACGCAAGCGTCCTTGGAAGGCTGACAGGCATTAACAACCTTTATTTATACATCTGTGCGTCAAACCAAAGAGACGGTCTCTGACAGGAAGAGTCAGAAGGTAAGAGCGGACAAGAGGTGTAAAATAAGCCTTACAGTGTCAGTGGTTATATCAACACTGACACTGGTGTTAAAGGAGAACTCCAGCAATTCAGTTCTCTACTTCTTTAAAAGGAATACAAACCAAGGGGAAAACTGAAGCAGCAAGGTATCCTGACTGCCCTTTGTTTGGCTCAGGCACTAAAAACATAATCCTTCCTTTCACATAGTGCAGCTTCATATTGTTTCATTATGTAAAGTTGTAATAAAGACTTGGAAAGTTTCTGAAAGCTTGGATAAATCAACCTTGACACTTAGAACGGGTGCCTAACCATAATGCAACACCATTGCCATTAGTTAAGCCAGAGTTTAACTTTGGTTTCACTAGTAGCGGCTAATATAGACTTCTGCAGAGATGAGGTTATTTCTTTCTTTAAAAGGACCCCTATCATACTATTTTTCATCAATATATTATAGGCCTCGGATATATACAAAACATGTCTCGGAAGTATTTGGATCGAAAAACCAAACAGATCATGCATTAGCCGCGTTCACACCGGAGTACTTTTACCCGTAGGCTACTTTAGCCTACGGGCTAGTTCCGATAGTGCCTGGAATTTTGCGTTCACACCAAAAAGAGAACTTAGTTCAGAGAACTTTTACCCCCCATTTTTAGTGCCTGCTAGAGAGGTGGTAGTACTATCCTGGGGAGAAAAATGTACCAATTTCTATTGGCTGGGCGAATTGCAAACCACGCCCCGTAAAACTCTGAAATGTTTTGTGAAGCCGCCATTGTATTTGCTGGCATTAGCCCCACGCACCAAAGGAGAGAGAATAACTTATGGCAACACAAAAAAAACATGGGAGTGGTGGAGATGAGGAGGTGTCGGCATTCTGGCGATTTACTCGGATGGCTTCAGTAGATGCTGCTGGGAGTCCAAGCAGCTTCTACTGAAGCCAGTCCCCAACTCCAGCAGATTCTACGTTATGACATCATAAAGTGGCCAAAATCTGATCAGCTCATTTTCAGACAGGTTTTTATATAAATGGACCAGGACAAAAAGTGAGAGAAACTTTTTTCCTGAAACTTTCAGAATCTCTTTACACAGAGGGGACACACGTTTATGTATTAAAGACATGGAAAAGTGGATTTTGCATAATAGGTGACCTTTAACTGCTTTGACACACATTTATTTTTCCCATTAAAATTCAGTTGTCTTTAAACCCAACTGAAGCTGAAGTGACATACAAACAGACGTAGATGTGTAAAAAACAGTTCCTCTTTAGTGATTTATGCCCCATCAAATGAATACATTGTTGTATTGACAATTCAAAGTATTTGAATACTCATTATTTTATATAATTATACAACCTTCATCACATGGTAATATTTAACATCTCTATCATCCATCCCAAATCACATGAAAGCGATATTTGACCTTTACTTCCTGATGAATGTCTACAATTATACAAACACAACGACACCAACAGTTTCTTACCTCCGTCATACATTGTCAGTAGTCTACACCCCATCAGAGATATTCCATTATTATGGTTATGGATATTTCAAAGACCAATAAGACAGCTGTTTTCACAGGAACTAGTAAACCTCATGACAAGTAAACATCTTTTTGAGTCAAATCAGTGGAATGCTTCTTTTGGTCGCCAGGTAAACATATCCCGAAAAAAGTCTTCTGTTTCCCGTGTCACACTGTGTGAGGTTAACTTGATGTGTGCCAATAATCGCTCCAAAAAAAACCACATCAAAGAACACAGATAGGAAGAAACGAGCTCATATCACAATCTACGAGACTGGAAAAGAAGGGCAGCTTGTTTAGACGTAGGGGCAACGTGACCTCACTCAAACGCAGCAATATTGTCATTCTTCATGCTTTCTGTGGTTTCTTTCAAGACGGAAAAATAATGTTTTTATTACCGAGAGGATACACTGTTGCCAGGAGCTCATCCCATGTTAAAGCTCCAGAAATCAGGTGACAGAGAAATCTTTGAATCCTCTTTTCACCGAGTCTCTGCTCTGCTTTGGTCCTTCTGTGTCTTCAATGTTGAGGAGCAGGGGACTGTGGGTCCAATTTCTCCTCCTTTAACACTAGAATTGGGGTGGGATGAAACCCTCTTTATTGGTCACACATGCAGAGCACACAGCACACAGTGACATTTGTTCTCTGCTTTTAACCCATCCTAATACCAGGAGTCTAGTACTAGGAGCAGTGGGCAGCTATTGTACAGCGCCCGAGGAGTAATGGGAGTGAGGGGGGTGTCCGGTGCCTTGCTCAAGGGCAGCACGGCAGGGCCCAGGAGGTGAACTGGGACCTCTCCAAGTAGCAGTCCACACTCCATATTTTAGGTCTGATCGGGGACTTGAACCGGCGACCCTGCGGCTCACAGTCCAAGCCCCTACAGACTGAGCCACTGCCGGACGCAGTAACTAGCAACCAGAACAAAATGCAGAAACAAACCAACGCATGTTAAAGTGTTAATGTGGATTACAGAATTGAGGAACAGAACAGCTTTAAGTTGGCACATTTCCCTGTCTGGTACAGCAGGGAATGAGTGGCATTAAATAAGTGTTCGCATTGGAGAGATTTTGTCATAATAACCAAGAAAAAGTGATGCACTGCAGGCCGCCCCGCCCGGCAGTGGGCTCACAAACGATTACACTCTGCCAACGCTCCAAACATACATCTCAACATTAATCGAAAACATGTTTATCGCTTATCTTCATTTGGCCTCTAATGTTTTCTTTGAACTGCGTTTACCTTTTACAAGAACACACACACACACACACACACACACACACACACACACACACACACCTAGACGACTGACCAAGGCACACGAGGGGATAGG